GGAAAGAGAAAGAGAAAGAGAAAGACAAAGAGAAAGAGAAAGAGAAAGAGAAAGAAAAAGAAAGACTTTGAAGGACTAATATGAATAGCAATTACTCTGTTAATTAGGTAATCTCGTATGAGTATGTATTAAATATTATATAGACATCTTTGGCTTCTATGAAATCTTAATTAGCATTAACTGGAAAATTTCAGGTATAGACCTAATAACTTTCAAGGGAAAAAAGTTTCTTTAAAATAGAACTTTTCCATGAAAAAAACTTTCAGGATTTTCTGAGATTAATTTGATTTAATAGCAAGAGAAATTAAAACAAATAGCAAAGAAATGTTAATTCTTAGCACAAGTGGTTAGAAATGGATGCTCGAACTTGAAAATGGTCTGTGACTTTGATGTTAGGAGGTGCAAAGCAATTCTAAACATTTACAGATCTTTGACAAGACCTTTGAAGGGCAGGCTTAAAGTTGATTAAGTAATAAGTCAGTACGAGAGCTAGTTTTCAAGATTCTTTTCTGCACATGTTAAGTGACTGTTGGGCACCAAAACTCAATATAAGTCATTATGAGATGATAAGATGAATTTATTTTATAAGTTAGCCTCAGCGATTCATGCTGCCAGAGCCACATACACACAAGCATGAAGATGTGTGTGCCTATGTAGTCTGTCCAGCATGTGTATATCCAAGACACATGTGTCTAGGTGGGCTGTGCAGGATTTCTTGCAATTGCATAAAGAGCAAAAGGAAGCTGACTATCAAGTCTTCATCATGGCTTCTGGCTTCTTGGGTAGCCATGTGGTGATGAACCTTTTGTATCTTTAGGAGCTTTCATTGATCAAGATCTCTTTTTTTTCTCTATCCCACTCTGGCAAATCACTAGGATTTATTCCTCATCCTTTGTCTCCTAACCAGGGTGTCTTAAGGCCTTGTCTTTGTTCTGTACCTTTCTACCATTGCTTCTAAGTGGTCAGAGTCTCTTCTTCAGATTAGGTGGAGACTGTGCCTTACTGTATACCGTCCTTCGTGTTTCTGGTTTGGGAACTACATGTAAATGTGCTATGATGGGGTGATCCAGGAGCCAACACCACCTGCCATCATTTTTCTGCCATTTTCCCTCTTGGTGTTTCCCCTCAGAGATCTCTGCATTCCTGGCAGTCTAAGGATTTTCATTATGAATCTCTATACAGACACTGTGACTTTAATCACAGGTAAAATAATAGAAATATTTTAGGCTTTCAGTTTCTTCTTGTAATCCCCAAGAGAGATAGAACTGGAAAAGGCTAAAACTGGTTTTATTCAGATTGGAGAGAGGAGGCTAGAATCTGAATTCCGGCAAATTTAAATAACAAATAAGGCAATCTCTAATAGTATATAAAGGCCTTTGTATCAAGGCCAGATACTTTTCTGGAAAGTCACTTTAGCCCTACACAAGTCTTTTGGCTTTTGCAAGAATAGCTGTGTGAAATGCATTCCCTTGCACTACTGAGCAGGTCAGGTTCCTGAGCTGGTGGTTCTATTTGCTGTAAGATGCTGCGGGCCTCATGTATTGCTGAGTAGGCAAGGGCTAACTCTCACTCTGAATGCACAAGAGCTCAGGGGAAGGAGAGTTTAGACAGTAAGGAGAAGGGAGACTGCATAGAAAAGGAGGAATGGCATTTTATCACAAGCATGCAGGCTGCTCTTCCTTTTTATCATTATCTTTCAGGGAAAGACAGAATCTTTTTGATTCTTTTTTTCTGCTGAGTCATTCTGTGAAAAGGAAAAGGAAAAGGAAAAGGAAAAGGGGAAGGGGAAGGGAGGGGAGGGGAGGGAAAAAAAAGGACTCTTCACCCGGGATCTCTAACTTCCTTAAGATTCTCAATGAAATAAGCCTTCTCACACCTCTATGAGTTTGATTTTACATTCACTTTATAGACATTTAAACTAGGCCATAGACAAGTTAAAGAACTTGCATAATATCACCCAAAGAGATGAAGGACAGTTAAATATATCAAGTAGAGAGCACAGGAATTGTGTTTCCTTAACCCCTGCTGAAACCATTAAATCACAAGAGCTGCTAAGGAAAGATGCTGCCAAAAGCCAGCTTTTTTTTTTTTTTTCCCTAAAACCACAGGAAGCATTTTGCACAGTTTCACAGAGTCTCTCCCCTGGTACTTGATGTAGATCAATTAATTACTTATTTAAAAAAAAAAAAAAGTGAAGCCTTGGACAGTCCAAAAGCCGTTAAAAGTTCTAATTCTCAGAACTATTCTCTGGCTTGACTGTTATCCAGTTTCTATTCAAGCAAGATAGGAATTAAGATTAATGAACCCAAACAAACTGGTATTTCAGGGAAGCCGTCTTTGCCAGGCATCATGACAGAAAATCATTGAGGCATAAATATAGCACTCAGTCACTGGTGTATATTAACATGACCACGTTGTTCCTATAAATCCTGAATAGAGTGAAGAGGATAATGAACTCTTAAACTGCATGAATTTGGGTTGCAGCATGTTTTAAAGTGAGTAAGGCAGAGCCCATGGAATAAGACAGTATCATTATAATACCTACTGCACTGCTGTGAACACTGTCTTCAGAGTCCAGAAAGGAAATTTCTCTGCTGGGAAGGGAGGTATTTGGGTTTGGTGATGGCTCTCTCTCTCTCTTTCTCTCTGGTGCCTTTTACTAACAGGGCTTTCCATTCAATTTGCATTTTTTGCATTTTTTTTTTATAGATGAAAGGCCAAGTCTTAAGGGAGAAAGAAACAAAATATCTTTGTCTAATAGGATCAATGCCTGTTTTAATAGGTGGGGCAAAAATGTGCCATTGTCTGCAAAGATTTGTCTGCCTTCCAAGAAGATAGTTGTGGCAAGAGTCTATTTTCTAAGGAAATAAGAATTGGCTTGGGGACAAGAACATTCAGGCACCATATCCAGGCACCAGAAGTAGTCATGGTACAACTGCCATAGAGGAAGTTATTGTGGCAATTTTAGAAGCAGTTTGCTCAGCTCAGGGAGAAGAAAAAAAAAATCAGTGTTTTCATGCTGAAAAGACATCCCTATGACATCATCTTGTTTGTTCTACAGAAAGAATGGAAGAAACAAAATGATTGAAAAGAGACCAGGCACATTCACTTTTATGCCAAAAAAACATAGAGGAAAGATGTAACCAAAATATTCAATGGTTACTTTAGTTCTCAGAGACAGTTCAGCAAATGAATCATTTTTCAGGGGCATTTGGGCTCCCAGACATAAGAACATTCTGCAGTAAGCTTAATTACTCCTTTAATTATGCATTTTAATTAGCAGAACAACTTCTCTCATGCACTTTCTCTCTAAATCTGCTGTGAAGTATTAGAGAACAAACTTGTAACTGAAAACTCCAACTACGTAGGATTCAAGAAACAAAACTGAAATTCAAGTAGTTTTCTTACTCACTAAATCACATATACTGCTGATTATTTTCAGGAACTCTTTGCTTTTTTTTATTCATGGATAACATCAAGAAAACACCCAGCACTGCTCCTTCTCCCACTGGTGTTTCTTTTGCCAATACATTGTCTTGCTGGTTGCTCCCTATAAATGATGTCTTAGCTCTTGCTCTTCCAGTAGTGTCTCTCCTCTGAATTGCTCCCTTGTCCCTCCGCTATCTGTCTTCCTGGCCCAAAGCCCTCGGACCACTGCTGTAGGAAATCTGTTTTCTCTCTTACTCACTTAAGAAAAGGGAAACAGAAGCAGAAGGAGCTATGTCCTGGAATGAAATTGGAGGCAGCTATGTGCATGGTGATGGATGAAGATAGCAAAAGCCATAAAATCTTCAGCGAAATAATAGAAAGCATCTCCCCACCAACATACTGCTGCTGTATTCTTTCCTGCTTTGCCAGAGACTGTACCTGCTCAGAAGGGGGATACACAATTAGGAGTAGCCCTTCATGTGGCTGTCAGCAGACAGGGTGAAGCCAAATGGGCCTCCAGGCTCTTTTATTCAGAGAGAAGTAATTCCTAATTCATTTGTAGCTTTGAGCCAAACATGGGCTTCGAGAGAAAAGGTTCAGACAAGGATACGTCTGCAACAGAGATGAAGTACGTTCAAACTAGGATTGAGATTGAAAATAAAGGGAAAAAAAATGAAAATCTCCCTTCTGAAAATAGTGAAAGACCTGTGATAACATGCATCTAGATATAATAAGTATCCTGTAATATCTAGGTTTCATGTTTTGTGTTGGTTTCTGGTCATGTTTTCAACACAAATATCTAAGGCTTGCTCTATATTTTAGCTTATAAAACATGAGCTTATTAGAGGTTCATGAAAAAGAGTAAAGGGTGACTGAGAATCAAAGTTCATTCCCAGAAACGGAGTCTAAAAATGAATATGCTTAGGCAAATGTGGTGGGAAAATAAAAAGCCTGATAGAGGACTGAGCTTTTCAGATAATTACTTTATTTTTCAGTTGCCATCACTGACTTAGTCAGTGTTTGTGCTGGCTTAAAGAAAGTAGTGTCAAGTGAACAGTTCCAGAATAGATAATGCTTTATGTTACTCTAGGCAAGAGTTATAGCATTATCCAATGACCAGTATTAAGTTATAGTTATCATGCCTTTATATGTGTTCTCCTGACAGTTAGTCAAAATATTACAAATTAATTAATCTCAGCAGTAATCCAAGCATTGTAAATGTGTATTTTCAAACAAATTTTGCAAATTTGGAGAGTGAGGAATAACTGACCTTGCTGGAGTGGCTTTTATTTTCCACAATTCATGATCAAAGTAGTTATGTTACACTAAACTCTTCTGATTTGCGACACCTGAATAAACGTCAGGAAAATCAGCATGGAATGCATGTTCCCCTGTCTGCAGCCATACTGCAGCCACGTAAAGTCCTGGTCTCTGCAGTGAAGTGAAGTCTAATGATTAAAAAAAAAAAAAAAAAAGGTGCTTCTGATTGAAAAGTGATTCGGACTGAGAGCAGGCTTGTCTGGAGACTCCCTGGCGCTGTGCTTCAAAATGACATGGAATAACTGTCACCTTGCCTGGGTTTATGGTCCATTTACATATATGTTTTTCCCTTAAAATATTCCCTGGCTGTTCAAAGAACATTGAGCTGAAAGTTATCAGATTCCCTGCAAGAGAAGAAGAAAAATAACAAGTAGGTTTGAACTGTCTAACACAAGCTTCTAACAGTCCTATATATATATATATATACATACACATACTTATATAATCTTGTGGATGGTTTCCAAATTTGCTTTGGATTTGATCATCTCTCTTTCTTCTGTTTGGATTATTTTAGACTGTAAATGTTTGGCGGCTTTGGCTTGGACTACTGCCTTTCTTTGGTTGAAAAAAAAAAGAATTCTTAAATGAGGCCAAGCTTCTTAAGTTGAATGAAGTGACTTTTCATAGCGCTTTCCATGCCAGAAGGAGAGGACCAAAGCTGAGACTACAGTTGCCTCCACTCCAACAAGGCTGTGCAGCCACATGGACATGCTCAAAACCTGCCAAGGGCAAAGGCGAGTCAGCCAGCAAAAGACGGCCCCCTTTCTCCCTTGCCCTCCAGTACAGCTTCTGGAGAACTACTCAACATCAGATCAGGGTGGGGACTGTTTCTAAAATATACGTTCCAAGCCCTCCACCCAGTTCCCAGCCTTTTTTTTCCCTGCCCTATCAGAGTGATATGACAGCCCAGAAGTCCATAAGACAAAGCAGGAAAGCCCATTGAGCATCCTGCTAAGCAATAAGCAATCAGTTAACAGTGAGGCAGGGAACGCATGCTTCTTATTTATCTATCTATCTATCTATCTATCTATCTATCTATTTATTTATTTATTTATTTATTTTGCAAACTGCTCAAAGATTGATTCCACTTGTAGAAAGAGCTTGAGAGGATGTCAGTATCATTTATGGATCCAAGTACATGTTATTTTGGTAGACATTTTGTAGTATCTGTTGTAGTTACAGATGTTACAAGTGTCTGTTATTATTTTTTTATGTACTCATAACTTTTCCAAACTTTCTCTGCTCACTTCTGCTGATATTTGATTTTCTTCTTGTTTGTGATCTTTTGGGGGAAAAATATTCTTAGCTGTTGTTTAGATTACAAGGCTAAGGAAGTACATGACTGACAGCTGATAAAACCATTTTGAACAAAATATGCAACAGTGACAACACACCTCAGCACAAACTCCCTTCATGAGTATGAGGGATCTTGCTTGCTTTTGTGGGTAAAAAGCTGCTTAACTTAAAATCGTGTGTTAAGTGTTCTGGTGAAGTTATGCTAGTGCATGTGTGCCACTGCCCTCTGCTGCATAGAGGCAGAAGTGCTCGGAGGCTTTTGTGGTGATGGGGTGCTGTCCACTTACCCACCCAGCCACCCACTTGTGCTTAGATCGAGCACTCGGGTCCTATGCACACAGTGGAATATTCATCTCTGTGAGAGTCTTTGCCTGTGAAGATCTCACCCTTGTTGTCTGCTGATAGTAGGGAATGTAATGCGGAGTGCAGGTATGGTGACCACCACAAAACTCCTGGATTGACCCAGAGTATTGTTTCATGGGCTGCCTATCCCAAAATATCTAGAGATATTTTGAGATAGGAGGAGGAGCTTCTGCAACAAGTATTATGTTTCTATTGAATATTGTTAAAGCCTGACCAGAAGCATCACTAGTCTTTTGGTAATAACCTGACAACCTCAAGACTGAAATTGTTTTGCCTAATCCAAGTTGCTGGCCTCAATATAAACATTATCAGGATAAATGTATTATGATAAGTATAGGGATAACTGTAACTTGGCTAGTAAAATATATGATTATCTGCTCCAGGCTTAAGAGCCTATGAAAATCACCTATGACCTTGAAAAAATGTCACAGTTAGCCTCACTGCTGCAACCCCCTGTCGAGAGGATAGCTCTTTTCAGTACACAGAGTAGGGAGTTTAACTCTTGTGCTAGTTAATCACTGTCATTTAGAGGTACTATGCCCCTCATGGATTTGTTGAGGCAATTAAGATAACATATCTACAAATCTCAATCTAAGGATTTGCACCTTTTCATGCTGCTTTATTTCTACCAAAGTCAGGATTTATGTATTTATACCCTTCATTTTAATAGCAGTGAGCAAATGGGAACAGTAACTTAACTCTTTTTCAGAATTAACTCCCAATAAAATTGGTATGAAAATAAATACAAATATCATAATTGCATGTATTGACAAAGATTTCTCTATTAGATATATGCCATTTAAAGTAGAGTGTTGCCTCCATTCCAGTCAGCAGCCATATGAACACAGCTGGGGTTTTGGGTGTCAAGCTGAGTGCTTTTCTTTTACCGTAATGCAGGTCCTGTAGGCTAAACTACTGGTAGGCTGTCAGTGACACTTCCAAAAACCCTTTGATGGGCTTAAACAAATGCAAATCTTGGTACTTAACAATGCTAGTGGTGGTATACAACAGGTTTTTGAATCCTGCTCATTCTATGGCATCTTCTCTGTGTTTCTATGTGTAGGTGTGTGTATACATAGATCTGTGCATGAACAGACAAAACTCTGTGAAGATTTTTGAGGTATTCGCATCTGTTTCACACACTATTGTGCCTATATTTTATAATAGATTGGGGCTTGAAATAGAAACAGAACAGAATGTTACTGAAGACTTATTAAAAAAAAAAGTTTCTGTGACTGTGGTATCTAACCTGCCCAGAAACACTAATTTTATCAGAGAGAAATTCTAAAAATGAAAAATAGTAGTTTTTAAATATATTCCCTTTTTGTTTAAATTTTATTTTCTTCACTTTGAAATAATGCATTATAATCATTCCAATTTTCCAAGTCTTTTCCTCTAAACTATGATATTCAAATAGGTGGCCTGCCGTTACTTCCATTACCCACTCAGATACACTGGAAAGAGGCGGCAGATTATGTTTTCAGACTAGTGAAAATTACTGGCAAGTTTTCATAGGTTTATCGTCACATCTCAGAGAACTTTCAACATGACACTTTTTTTCTCCTTGAAAGGAAAGTTTTCACTAATTTTGAATGAAAGAACAAGTCCACTGGGAAGAAGCAAGTCCTTCAACAAAATTCTTGTTTTTGTAATTGCCACATTCTTGCTTCCTCATTTCCCCTCCAAGCCCCAAATTTACCACAAAGATGAGTGTGTGGTAATTAATTCCCTGGCAGACTATTCCTCATTGCCAGGCAAATACAACAACTGGAGCTGCACAGATATAGTATCCTCTGAGGGAAATTGTATTGATAAAATAGAATGTATTCTGTTCTGTGTTGAAGTACCACTGCAGCCACATACACACACAAACATATGTCGCAGAAGGGTTTGCTGTGTTAAGTTTATATTTTTCAAATGTGATACTTTTTTTTTTCCTTCCCAGAGAATGAAAGCAGTTTTCAGAGCATTTAATTTCTGTGCAATAGAGCTCATGGGCAACCACTCAATAAAAGCAAAATAAGGAATGTAGTCATGGTTCTAAAAACACATCACATTCTTCAAAAAGATGCCAGTTTTATGCACTGACAGTAATCCTGTCTAATCCCCTCCACACGTATTGTCTTTATACACCTGCTTCCATTGTCTGCCTTATCATTTTCTTATACTTAGAGCAACAACAAGGTAAAGCAGCAGGACAAAATATGCACGGACTGAGAGTGTTTAATGACACAATTTTGCACTGTAGTCATATAACTTATTGGTAGTTTTTGGTGCTTAGAGTCAACATCTTCCATTAAAACATTTTTTCCTACTCCATGGTTTGTTTTTATTTTTTTCATTGGTGTATATCTGTGTTTGTCTTTCTTGGCAGATTAACCGCAGCTCATCAAACAGCTGTAAAAGTAATCAGGAGAATGCAATATTTCGTAGCTAAAAGAAAATTTCAGGTAAGCAGCACCATTAACATAAATACAATTTGTAAGTTTAAGTGTAGGATGTTGAAAGTGCTCTGGGAGTGAACTTGTCTTTCAGCATATGGTTATAATAAATCATAGGCACTATTTAGGCTCCAAGCCCCATACCTTCCTTCTATGATGTTATTTAGTGAGTACAAAACTATCAACTGTCCATGGGTATAGTATTATATGCAAACATTCTGAATTTGTAGAGTCAGCAGGCTTCTCTTTTACTCTTCTATTTTTTTTCTTTTTTAACTGTACTGATCTATCTTGCCCATCTACCAGAAGAAAAGAAGAGAAGATTCTTTTGGAGTTTCTGCTAAAATACTACTACTGTCCCCATTGATCATCTAACCATTTAGAAAATATTCTACAGATTTTTTTGTTCTGCTCATATATCAATAGATCTTGCTGATCACACAGAAATATGCTGTGTAAAGTTGCTTTCATATTTGTGACCCATATTTCTACATTGTTTTTCCAGCTTGAGACCTTATAGAGGGGCCTTATTTTAAGAAAATGTGGAGCATCTGCTCCCTGGAAATGTGCTGAAGTCTCAACTCAGATTTCTCAGTCAGATTGCAAAGTGCCCAAAGTATATCTGCTACACTGAAAAACTTGATTTCTTTTGTCTACGTACTGAGGCCCACTGTAAAAAAACTTTTTTGGAATGTGATTCTGATATGTTCATCATCATCACCTGTGTGCTGGTCACAGAACTGAGCAATTATCTCCTGGCCTGATTTTCAGAATACCTATTACTTCCATGTAACCTCAAGCAAGTTTGACTTGAACTGAGCACTGAATTGCAGGAGATAGAAATCTGATATGATCATGCAGTGCTCAGACAACTGAATTAGGGCTGACAATATAGCAGAGACATTTCTCAAGTTCATGCATAAATGTATCTTCAGATGATCTTTCTTATGAAAGAAGACCAGGAGAACTTTTTTTGATTAACTCAGTAATTGTCAATCTAACAGAATTGAATGACTCCTAACTATCAGAGGGGCAAATATCATTTGGAATGAAAAACAAACAAAGAAACAAACAAAAAACCTAAAGGACACCACTGCTGGAAAAAAAAAAAAAAAACAGTGTGAGTTGGGATGAAAATCAGAATATATCTAAGCAAGAGGACTAGAGCAGTTATGCAAAAGCAGTAAAGCCAAAATTTTAAAAACTGAACTCAGTCATTTTATGGAAAGGATTCTGTAAGCTGGTGCACGTTATAAATTTCAGAACCAGGATGTTATTCTGAATTTTGCCTTAAGAGTGCTAAACATCCTAGATGTAGAATGCTGAGCCCAAACAACCACCAAGGTTAGATGTGTTTGGGGGGGAAAAAAAGAGCTGGGCAGACTGAGAATTAAATAAGTTCATCAAGTTCTGCATTCACCAAACCTCCCTGGAAGCCCATTACATCCCTCCCTGAGTTGTATTGTGCATCCTACTATTTCTCAATAAAAAATGGGATAAGAGATTGTATTAAGTTCAGACACACTTGTGGAGAATGTGCCAAACTTTGGCAGAACATAAAATGTCCAGATAGAAAGGTTTATGGGAAAGGGGGAGAGAAAAATGGAGAGTTGGAAGGGTATTTTTGCTATGCATTAGAGAGGACACAGGCTGCAGTGTACAGTACTTTGCAACAGAAGATTCAGGGTGGATGGTTTGGTAGAAGGGATAATAGATGGGAACTTATTTAAAGGAAGAAAGGAAATTTTACTGGGAATGAGTAGAATTAATTATGCATATAGTAGCCCATGGGGGAGGAGGGACGGGGGGAAAAATCCCTAGCACATCTCGGCTCTGCGCCATGCTTCATGTTTAAATAGAGAGTATCCAAAGCAAAGGACAGAGGATTTAGCCAAAACACTCTCAAAGCACCCCTGCTAGTCAATCAAAAGAGTGATACTGGCACTGTTTCTCTGGGTGAAGACAATAGGCTGCTTTTCTGGCCAGAAATAGTGATGTGTCAGCGTCTGCAAGTGAAGCTGGGGAGGGCAAAAAAAAAAAAAAAAAAGGTGTGTGGGGGTATAAATTTAAAGTTGAAATTTTCTCCCCACAAAGTATCTCATCTAACAAATAACACACAAATGCACACACACTACCAAAATCATGAATTCTGCAGAAAGTATAATGCAAGTAGGTGCTGACAGCTAAGCACAAGGAAGGCATTTTTTTTCATGAAGAGCTTTTGCATCTTCATTCATTTCACCGGATTTGTTTCCATTCCAGTCCCATGCTTTCATTTGAAATTTCTAGGATCCTGTGGCTGCCTTCCAAGCATGACTCCAGCACATACTGTAGGTGTTCAATGCATGTGTGCAGCAGTGCATGCTAATGGCTCTGGCTGAAGCCCTGACAAAGTGGAAACAGACAACAAGATGACTAATGAGCTGTTTTCAGTAATTTCTAATTACTACATTTGCAGTTTAGCTTTTTTTCTTTCTTTTTTTTTTTCATCTTCTTTTTCTTCTTTTCTTGAGTTGGAGCCAAAAGGGAGACATCTTGTCCCACATTTCCGATACAGGTTGGCATGGCTCTGAAAATGCTAGTGTTTTCACAAGGAGCTCATTTGTGTTTACGCCCACCCTCAGTTATTTTTATTTTGTATTATTTTCTCATGATGGACCTTTTAGAATCATATCATTTTATGCAATTTCTCAGACTTTTTTAAAATCCTGCCTTAGTCATTACAGAAAGAAACATCTGGAGTTTGTCATCTGGTTTTTCATTGGAAGGGGAATAAAGCTAGACAAATGGCAGATTTTTAGATCCCTTCCATTTTATAATACTTTTTTTCAATTGTGAATTGTGAGTTGTATGTTTTTTCTGCCATAGTAGGTGTCATTAAAAATAAAACACTGCAAACAAAATCTACATGCAGCTATGTTCATACTTATTCCAAACAGTTGTCCTGACAGTTTTTTAAGCAGTAGTACCCTTGTCACCATACATCTTTAGTATTTGGAGACATTTCTTTATAGATCTAAGCATTATGGTTTGGGCCTATCTCTGTGGTTCTGTACTCTGACATTATGATTAGCACGTGTTTTTGGAATGAGCTGAGAGATATCACACATGATAATCTTAGATAAATTATATATCTTGTTTTTATGTGTTTTAAGCAGACTGTGAGGGCCTAATATTTTGCTGAGTTTGAAGTAACATGAAGATATGACTCTGACAGTGACCGTGTCTCCATGATAAATATGCACTCCTACAATGACTATGTATTTTTATTCATTGCAAAGACCATTGCAAAATGGCAACCAAATGACTTCTAAAACATGAAAAACAGAATGAAGGTCTGTCTGAAATAAATAATCTAGTTTAAACTAAACTTGGCTTTCAATTCTTGTGTGATTCTTTTCACAGCAAGCTCGGAAACCGTATGATGTTCGCGATGTGATTGAACAGTACTCACAAGGACACCTCAATATGATGGTTCGGATAAAAGAGCTTCAAAGAAGGTAGGCCCTGTCTACCTCCTGAAATATTTGATTTCTCTGGTGCCAGCTGGCTTTAGGAGAGATGTGTACTTAATGAACAGTAATTGTCCAAAATTGCAAGCACAACAGGGAGTACAATATCTAGAGGATTTAACTTAGAGACATTTTTAACCCTTTTTATGACTGAGGTTACAATTTTCATTTATCTGCCTCCATTCTTCCTCCAAGTGAAATTAGAATAAATTAAGGTAGATATTATAAAGTTTACAAAAACTTTATAAAGAGATTTTTATAAAGAGCTGTGAGTTCTCTGCATTGTTCTTTTAAAAAATAACCTTTCAAATAATTGTTTTCCTTTCTGACCCCTTTCTGCACAGTTCTGCATGGTTGAGAGAAATCTGCCTCACTTGTGCTCCCCTCTCTCTTTAGAGTTTTTCCCCTCCCACATTCCTCTTTGCAAATAATTTCTCTGAATTTGAGGATTACCACTGAAATACTGTGTCAGAAAACTATATTAATCTGCTTCAACACAAAGTGCTTTGCTCTTTACAAATTAATACTGTGGACCAGGACACTAAATTCGGTTCCTCTGGCCCTTAAATGAAGAGAAAAAAAAATTCTATTGATTGTAATTTACTGTGTCACTATTTAAAGATATTAACTCTGCCTGTATGTGATTCAAAAAACAGTTGCAAATGTTATTAAGAAGCCTTTCTGCTTTTATAGTCTTGTTATTAGATTACATATGATACAGGACAACTATCTTTTAGTCAAAACATTAATATTAAAGAAATAAAATACCAGTACTCATGAAAACAACTATAAAAATATGGTTTGATTCTAGAAAAGAACTATAAAGAACCAAACTGCGGAAATAATTATATGGAAAAAAAAAAAAGCAAGGCTAAAGTTTTTACCTGCTTTGTTTTGTGTTTAAAGCTAATGCAATTTCTCATGTGTAGTATGCTTCTGTACTCTTCCCAACTCTACATTGTTTGGTTGCAATTTCTCCATTTGCTTTTCAGATTGGACCATTCCTTGGGAAAGCCAGGCCTTTTCCTCCCAGGTATAGTGACTGTATTTAATGTAAAATGATTAGTTTCACAACTTGGTGAAAATATCTGCTGCTACAGTAAAGTAGATGTATAATGCAGCCAATTGTCAATTAATGTGTAATTCTGTTAACAGGTCCTGGAACAACTGTGGAAAGATAAATACCTTACACTCAGATGGTAGTGAGCTAAATGGAAATTGAAAATAACTGTTAAAAATGTATATCAGCATATGATGACCTGGAAACAGCTTACCAAGGAATTTTATGCAAAAATATTCTTTCTAAAGCTTTTGACCTAACCTTAGTGTGTATGTTGATTCCACATAAAAATATTTCTTCCTTTTTGAGCAAAGCCCAAGGGAAGATCAAGGGTATCACTCAGGATGAACTGAATGACCTTGAAAGTTAGGGTGATAGAAGTGGTATGAAATTCATTCATTAAAAAAAAAAGGTCACGTGCAGGGAAACTAATAATAAAAATCTCCTACTTGCTAGTAGGGATCAATAATCTGGCATGTCTGAGAAAAATAAAGGGTTGGTATGCTAATTAGTTGTGAACAAATGCTAATTGAATGTAAGCAATTGCTATGATGTATCCGTTAAAAAAAAAGTCTGATCCTTGGACCAGGAGAAAGATTTTCAAGACATATAGAAAAGTATACATACCACTGTACAAGGCAGGTAAGATAGGAGTATTGTGAAAATCCTGATTGTGTAGTTATGCAGGACTAGCTGAAAAAGAAATAGGGAAGACAGAAACCTGAGGGCTTCTATGGGGCTGTGTTGAAAGGAGCCATAACTTCTTATAGAACTAGGTCAACCTGAAGTTTCCAAAAGCCCGATCTTGGTCTGTCTCTAAAAAATACTGAGGAACTGAAATGCTTTATCCTCAAGCAACTTCAAACACTTAAGGGCATAGGACTAAGAGTCAAGGGGGTCCACAGTTACTTCAAAACCTTTAAAATGATTAAAATGGTTTATACCATGAGAACATGGAATGTCTCCGAAAACACAGTGAATTTTTAACATCTGATTGCTGCAGAAAAGACTAAGTAGTACAATCCCCTTCCCAGTAGCTGAGCTGATTTGCGACCACAGGAAAATGATCAGTCAGCTTATGTACATTTTTTGTAATGTACTGTAATATGCTTGGGAATTTATTCCACGATGTGATCAGCACAATCTAAGTTTATGGGGAAGTTTTGCTCTACCTTTAAGCATTTAATGTTTTATTTTGAATGTAACATTACTTAATTAGAACTGCAATTGTGTGCAAAAACATAGGTGTTTTAAGCATTTGTAATGAAATAGCTTCCTCTTTCAGAGGTGTGGGGTATTTGACTGCAGCTTGCAGACTTTCCAGCAAACTAGAAAGTAATGTTCCTAGCAGTCTGGGAGAGCTGAATGCTCTCTGTGTCTGATTCCGGGTGAGATTGTGCTGAAGATGTTCAGGAGGTTTAGTTGCCAAATCTTAGGTCAAAGAGGATTGGGGGGATCTTGGATAGATCTGTGGATTTGTGTGAGTGTTCAAAGTGTTTGCTTGTTGAACGGAGCTGATGATAGTTACTGAGACCGAGCCCTGTGTCTGTGAGCTGCAATGGATTGAGCCCAGGGCAACCTACATACAAAACCTATTAGTCTTTAGTCTTCTCGCAGTAGCGTTACTGATAAATGGCTGTTTTGAGATGGCTGTGTCAGATGCAAAACCAAGGTGGCACTGCTGGGAATGATGTCTGTCTCTACAGCATAGCAATTCTACAGAGCTATCCCTCTTGCAAAGTCATAAGTCTATGCCCTGAAAATGTCAGAATAAATACTGATTAGAACAGGTAAAATGGCTGCTTGAGCTGCAAGACTTGGTAAGCTCTGTTCTGAGTTCTAAGCTCTGTTGGTTTGCAAGACCAAAACCAGAAGTAATATGATCTAGCAGTTACTTTATCTAAAACCTCCACAAATCCAAGAATAAGATAAGTGATTGCAGAATTAAAATAAATGTTACTTTTATATTATCCTTGGTGATATCAAACTCAGCAATAATCAAGGATTGTCATGTTGGTCTTTTTGGGTGGTAACAGACTGTAGCACTGTCCTCTTTCCCAAGTTTTCCTTCTCAGATGGATAGCCAATTCTGCTTCAAAAATGTATTTTCAATATGATATATTTTTCCAGTTCAAAGACATTGTTGAAAACCTCGGTTCTAAGGAGTATGGGTATTTCTTCCGGAGTGTGTTATTTTTGTATTGATGGCAAGCAGAAGAGAAATGACAATGCAAAGTAAATCAAACCACCAAGGAGAAAAATGAGAAGAATTTTCTTTTCCAACTCCTTTTTGTATGTGTGTGTGTTTCTGTGTGTTTTATTATATATACTCTAGTCAAAGAATCTTAAGGTCTTATTCCAAGACTATTGAAGTGAATGGGAATCTTTCCAGTGACCTCAATGGATTTTGAATCAGTCTGTTGCTGAAATCCTGTTGTCAACTGTGATAATATTATATGAAGTAATTACAGTATGTTTATAGCATTATTACTTTCAGAAGTAAATGATGTCATAAAAGATCCAGAATCTGAATTCACTAGAAGAGATCATTGTTATTTTTAAGTCAGCTGTTCAAAGATAAAAAGTAAGCACTAGAAGCAATATTAAATTAAGATAAAGATACAAGGACATAGGAACAGCCATTCTGGTAAGAACAGTCCTGCCTCCCTGTAGTGAGGTACTTTGGGAAATGTAGAAGAAAAGGACATGCAAAAGGGTCTAACCTTATGTTAGCTTCTAACTATATGCAGATCAGAGACTTCCTGGCATGCTTTCTGTGAATTTAGTAGTCCTTGCTGGTTCGTCCTCAATGAGCTTCCCTGTTTTCCTCTGTATCACATGAAGACTTTTAACATTCATAGTATCCTGGGACAAGAAGACCTGATTTAACTTGCACAGACACATTTTATGAAGAATCAGCTATTTTCTGCTTTTTTTTTGGGGGGGGGGGCTGTTTCTGGCTACAAGCAGATTCATTTGAAACTTTTTATATCTTAAAAACTTTAAAAGGTAATGACTAAATACTGTAAGAGTTAAATCCAGTTGTATGAGTGATTTATGTACTCTGTGGCTTTGTTTTATTGAAAGTTTGTATCAGTGCTCCATATAATACAAACAAGTCTGTAAAATTAAACAAAAATTGAAAGCAATTTTTGAGGCTTGCTATAGCTTTTTAGGGACGGAGTTGATGAAACAAAAGATCTAGTGTCTGAGTTCAGAAAAATATTCGAAGGACTGATTTCTATCAGCAATTCCTCTCAACCTCCTAGGTCTACTGAACACAGGTGGGAATCCCTGGAGAAAAAGGCGTTCGTGTAGAATTTTTGGCAGTTCTATTGTTTACTTTATTTCTTTCACCTAAACTTTTCCATGCTCTTGCCTTCCCAACCAGTAGGGAAAAACTCTACCATAATATATTTTAAAGTATAACAAATATACTTTGCTTAATTTTATTTTTAAAGGTGGATTAATATTTCCAATTTCCACATTTCTGAAGAAATGGGTTTATTCCATCCCTTCCAAAGACAATATGAAAGGGAACTTGGTCCTCCAAAATAAAAGCTCTTAGGAACAAGAACATTTTCTGTAGCTGTCAACTGTTTACAGTCTTCTCTCTAAAAGCTGTTTTTGTTTCCAGGGATAGTCCACCTCAGTGCAGAGCCAGCAG